GTCGGCGATCTTTACCTCCTGCATCTCCTTGTCCGAAGGCAGCGGGTCGCGGCGGGGTGCTGTCTGACTCCCTGGGAATCCGGCCGTGGCGACGAGAGCTCTCCAGGAAAAGCAGCAGCACTGGGTTCGATGCTGGGGCCCACGCGCAGAACCTCACTTCCGCGCTGTGACACGCCACTGATCGCGGCAACTCCTGGCAGGTACGGCGCCACGATTCTCCCCGCGACTATCCGGCCCAGGATGGTTTCCGCCATTGCTATGGTGACTGACGCGGCTATGCTGCTGGAGTCCGTCTGGCTGCTCGCGGTCGCGTTGCCGGAGTCTGTCATATCGCGCGCGATCGAGCGGCTGAGGTCCGTCGCGCTGGTCACGACGTCGCGGCCGGTGCACGTCCTGCTGCTCGTGGTCGCGGGAGTCCGTCGTCCTGCTCGCCATGGTGCTGCTGGCGCCCGTCCTGCTGCGCACGATTGCGCTGCTGGGTTCCGCACTCTGGCCGTGGCGACGAGGGCTCTCCAGGACGAGCGGCGGCCGTTAGGTCCGCCCCTCCACTGACGCCCCGCAAAGCCGGCCGTCGAAGCGGGGGCTCGCAGGATAGAGCGTTCGATCGCTCCAGGCGGCGTCTTTCTGGACCTCCGCCTCCTCGTAGACCTCCTCGAAAGCCTCCTTGACGACCTCCTCCTGACCGCCCAGCTCGTTATCGAAGAGCGCCCAGCCGCACGGCTCTGGACCGGCATCCCGATGATCGCCGTCGTGGCATGGCGATTGCCCGCACAATCCGCGACGTCGCTGGGCGTCGGCGCCTTCCAACTTGTAGATCGGTTTGTAGGTCGGTACTTGAAGGAGGTGCCGAGCCAATTCGGGATGTCAGCAAGCTCTAACCCAACTGATGACATCAAAAACTCAGGCAGCTTGCCAATGATCTCTGAGGCGTTGCACCCCATGGTCGCCATCATGCTCACGCGGCCGTGCCGCGGCTCCGCCGGCCGCTCCCGAGCGAAGGGCACCAGTCTGCCGCCCGCTGTGCACCCAGCAGGGTCCCAGAGATGCCCCGCGGGTCCAGCACGTCCAGCACCCGCTCAAACCCGCGCGAGTCACGGTGAAGTGCGCCTGGTCGGGCGGGAGCGATTCAAGGGCCCGCGGCGCCCGCCGCGTGCTGGCCCAAACCCCCCTCAGGGGTGGCCAACGGGGCGGCAGCAGGCGGCCCCACGGCCAGCGAAGCGTCGGCAGCCAGCGCGGCGGCGCGCGCCAGCGCGGCCGTCGCCGGCCAGAGGGCCGCACGGGCAGAAGCAGCGGCGGCCACGGCGCAGGCGCCGGCCGCAGCGGCCGCCCCGGCCGCGGGGCCAGCCGCGAGGCCGACCGCGGCCCCATCGCCAGCGGCGGCACCGGCCGGACAACTGGGCGCGGCCGCGGCAGCGCCGAGGGCGGCCGCGGCGGCGGCGGCGCCGCCTGCATCCCTGGCGGCAGCGGGGGACGCCGCAGAAGGGACAGCGCCAGCCACGGAAGCTGCCGTGGCGAGGGGCCCGAGCAGCAAGCCGGGCGGCGGCGCCGCTTTGCAGGCCCGGGCGGCAGCAGCAGCGCGCCGTTGCCGCCGCTTCTGCGCCGCGCGGGACTTCATCCGGCCCCAGCCCCCGGTGGCGGCGCACCCAGGTCGCGCCGACCAACCTCGAGCCAGAGCGGCTTGAGCCAGAGGCTTGAGCCAAAGGCTACGGTAAGTGCCAGGAAACAGAAAAACATGCAGAATTATAGCCGGAGTGCAGTATCCCCGTTTTTTAACCCACTGCGGTTTCCAAGGTCGATTGCGTGCCCGTCCAGTGCGGGCTGGCATGGCATGTTAAAACATGCCTCCTCCTCCTCCTCCTTCTCCTCCTCCTCCTCCTCCTCCTCCTCCTGCTCCTCCTCCTCCTTCCTCCTCCTCCTCCTCCACCTCCTCTTCATCCCGAAGGGCATCTCGGAGCCCAGAGTTGCGAGGATGTCTCCAGCGTAACGGGCTGGACCACCTCGCGCGCGGCATCTCGAACCCCAGAGTTGCGACGATGTCTCGGGCGAAACGTGCTGCGAGGAAGTCTCAGGGCGAAATGGGCCGGACCACCTCGAGCGCGGCGTCTCAGAGCTCCGAGTTGCAGGGGCCTCCTGGGGCCTCCTGGGACCTCCTGGTGACCTCCTGGGGCTTCCTCCTGGGCCTCCTGTGGCCTCCTGGACCCCACCTGGGGCTTCCTGAAGCCTCTTGGGGCTCCCAGGGGGGATATCTAACATGTGGCCGTCGGGCCCCTCCAAAAGGGGGGGGGGGGGGCACAAGAGCAGGAAAAATCAACGAATCGACACCAGATGTGCATTAACTTGACACGTTCTGAGAGGGGGCCTCCTGGGGCCTCCTGGGAGGCGTCCTGCGGCTTCCTGAAGCTCTCTGGGGCCTCCTGGGAGCCAGATGTGGTCTTCTGGGCCCCCAGGCTGGACCACCTCTTGCGCAACATCTGAGAGCTCAGAATTGCGAGAATGTCTTATGCGAAACGGGCCGGACCACCTTGCGCACGGCATCTCAGAGCTCAGAGTTGCGAGGATGTCTCAGGCGAGATGGGCCGGACCACCTCGCGCAGGGCATCTCGGAGCCCAGAGTTGCGAGGATGTCTCCAGCGTAACGGGCTGGACCACCTCGCGCGCGGCATCTCGGACCCCAGAGTTGCGACGATGTCTCGGGCGAAACGTGCTGCGAGGAAGTCTCAGGCGAAACGGGCCGGACCACCTCGAGCGCGGCGTCTCAGAGCTCCGAGTTGCGGGGGCCTCCTGGGGCCTCCTGGGCCTCCTGGTGACCTCCTGGGGCTTCCTCCTGGGCCTCCTGTGGCCTCCTGGACCCCACCTGGGGCTTCCTGAAGCCTCTTGAGGCTCCCAGGGGGGATATCTAACACGTGGCCGTCGGGGCCCCCCAAAATGGGGGCCACAAGAGCAGGAAAAATCAACGAATCGACACTGGATTTGTATTAACTTGACACATTCTGATAGGGGGCCTCCTGGGGCCTCCTGGGAGCCTCCTGGGAATCTCCTGCGGACCCCTGGGGCCTGTCCTGGGCGTCCTGCGGCTTCCTGAAGCTCTCTGGGGCCTCCTGGGGCTCCCAGGGTCCCAGGGGGGATATGTAACATGTGGTCTTCTGGGCCCCCAGGCTGGACCACCTCTTGCGCGGCATCTGGGAGCTCAGAGTTGCGAGAATGTCTTGTGCGAAACGGGCCGGACCACCTTGCGCACGGCATCTCAGAGCTCAGAGTTGCGAGGATGTCTCAGGCGAGACGGGCCGGACCACCTCGCGCAGTGCATCTCAGAGCTCAGAAGTTCGAGGATGTCTCAGCGAGATGGGCCGGACCACCTCTCGCGCGGCATCTCCGAGGTCAGAGTTTCGAGGACGTCTCAGGCGAAACGGGCCGGACACCTCGCGCAGGGCATCTCAGAGCTCAGAGTGTTCGAGGATGTCTCAGGCGAACGGCCCGGACCACCTCTCGCACGGCACCTCGGGGCTCAGAGTTTCGAGGATGTCTCAAGCGAAACGGCCCGGACCACCTCTCGCGCGGCGTCCCGGAGCGCAACTTTTCGAGGATGTCTCAGGCGAAACGGCCAATCCCGGCCAACTCAGAAACGAGAGTTGTGAGGATGTCTCAAGCGAAACGGCCCGGACCATCCAATTTTTGTGAGGATGTCTCTGCTCCGACTTCCCTCGGCCGGAGTTAGCTTCTATCACAACAGCACCCCGTTCAGCAAGCTGTTTGGGGAAATACAAAGTAACGCAAAACAATGCAGAGTAACGCAGGCCCAGACGGCGACGGGGCGGCGACAGCGACCACATAGCCGCCCCGACGGGCAGGCCCAGAAGACAGGCCGCGACGAGGAGGCAACCGCGACCACATAGCCACCAGACCGACGGGTAGGCCCAGTCCCTAAGTGCGAGAACTGTTTGGGGAAACAGGATGGAGGAGGAGGCGAATCAACGATGTTGCAATACATCCTCCTTCCACGTTCCCTCTGTAGGTGCCAACAAGAATGTCAACTCACCCCATTGGAAGACAACCGTCTGAGAATCCTTCATCCCGCAGAAGTGCACTTCCCGCGACTTCAGCGCCGCGAACCAACGTTCCTGGTAGGCCCTGACGGTCACGACCCGTGCCAGCACGCCATTCTTTGGGCTCCAAAACCGCGGATCAACGTTACTGTTGCATCCCGATAATCCTACAACTTGCCCGAACTCCCTTCCTGGGACTTCCAACATGAAAATATTTTAATCGGTTGCGGACTTTTAACACGAAGGTGCGGCGCTCAGGCGAGAGCCACATTTTGAAAAGGAACCTCCCTCCACCACGAATCCCTTACAAGCTGGAAAACGAGTGTGCGCGGCGCTGAAGCGAGAATCACATTTTGAAAAGGAACCGCCCTCCATCCGTGAAGCTTTCACGAACTTTCAAAACGAATGCGTGCGGCGCTGAGGCGAGAACCACATTTTGAAAGGGAAGTGCCTTCCATCCGCGCAACTCTTGCAAACTTTTAATACACATGTGCGCGACGCCAAAGCCAGAACCAAATGTTGAACGGCCCACCCTCCATCCGTAAAGTTCTTGCAAGCTTTAAGACGAGCATGCGCAACGCTGAAACGACGACCTCATTTGGAAACGGGCCGCCCTCCATCCGTGAAGCTGTGACAAATCCCATGCTTCAGGATCCTGAAGGGTGAAGTAGTCTCAAGCGAAACGCCCAGCCCGCCCGACCGACACGTCTCGAAATGCGACAAGGAGGGGTGATTCATAAGAAAACGGGATGGAGGAGGAGGAGGAGGAGGAGGAGGAGGAGGAGGAGGAGGAGGGAGGAGGAGGAGGATGGAGGAGGAGGGCATAGTGAGGAAGGGGTGGGAGGAGGAGGAGGAGGAGGAAAAGGGGGAATAGGGAGAGGAGGAGGAGGAAGAGGAGGAAGAAGAAGAGGAGGAGGACGACGAGGAGGAGAAAGAGGAGGAAGCCTCCGATGGGTCCTCGTGTGCTGCCTCCGCGCGCCGGAGGTGCCCCAACCACGCCTCGCCTTCGCGCCGCGTGCGCCCGGGCGACGCCGGGCGGACCTGGGAGGCGGGAAGATGCCGAGGCTCCTCCCCAGCCCTGACTGCCTCCTGCTCTTCCCTCCCTCTCCTCCATGCCTTCCACGCTCCATCTCTCCCTCGCTTCCCTCCCTCCTGCCGTCGCCTCCCCTCCCTCCCCTCCCTCCCCCCCTCCCTCGTCTCCTCCCTCCCCCATCCCTGCCTTCATCCCTCCCCTCCCTCCTGCCTCCTTCCGTCCTTCCCTGGTTGCGATGGCCTGGAGGCCCTGCGGGGCGGAGGCGCACGCCACAGGGCGGCCGTCGCCCTGCGGGGCGGCGGCAGCCCACGGAAACTCAACGGAGGCTTCCTCCTTCCTCCCCTGCCTACCTCGCAGGATGGCGCCACATGTACACCTGCACCGATCCTGGACAAGCTCATCCTGGGCCCAGGACCGATGTATACGCCCTCATGGTTCGGGCAGGCAGGCATCGATGTAATGTGTAAATGTATATGTGCATGTATACATCTATATATATAATACATATTTAAATATAATTATGATTATATAATATAATATATATATATATAATATATATATATATCGCCGCCCCCAACGCCGGGGCCACCATGGCTGTAGGCCGGAGGTCGCAGTTTCCTGTACCTCCAGTTGTTCTTTTTAGTTTTCCGTTTCCCCCAGTGTTACCAGTTATGCTGCTTCTTGCTGTTTACTGTAACTATTTGTTGAACGCGCGAGGGGGGGGAGGGCCGCCCAAACAAGACTATTTAGCGTCTCCTGGGTCTCGTTTTCTGAATTGCGCTGTGGGGGCTCGAAAATCGTCAACACCCTCAAAAAACGCAAATCTCCGCGGGGTGGTAAAGGGTCCAAAAACACATGTGATTTGCCACATTTCTGAAATTCGGTGCCACCCCTCACGCAGATCCGCGGGGTCAGGGTCCAAAAACATAAGGGATTTGCCACATTTCTGAAATTCGGTGCCACCCCTCACGCAGATCCGCGGGGTCAGGGTCCAAAAACATAAGGGATTTGCCACATTTCTGAAATTCGGTGCCACCCCTCACGCAGATCCTCGGGGTCAGGGTCCAAAAACACAAATGATTTGCCACATTTCTGAAATTCGGTGCACCCCTCACGCAGATCCGCGGGGTCAGGGTCCAAAAACACATGAGATTTGCCACATTTCTGAAATTCGGTGCCACCCATCACGCAGATCCGCGGGGTCCGGGTCCAAAAACACAGGGGATTTGCCACATTTCTGAAATTCGGTGCAACCCTCACTGCTACATCCTCGCCAGAGGCCGTGGTAACCCAAACTCGAGAACTCCCTCGGCCCTTTAAATCCCAAGGTGGTGGTAACCAAGCCCGTAATCGGCGACAGGTGTGGTAACCCCTCTTGTGATCAGTTTGTTTTGCTGATTGCGAATCGGCTTCGCATGAAGTTTCGATACTGCTTCACGACAGCGCCAAGGCCTCATGACTTAGCTCTTCCATGGCCCATTCTCCGAGAGAGGGGGCCGGCGGCAGGGGGCGAAGCCCTTACGGATTACGGATATATATATATATATATATATATATATATATGCATGTATGTATGTGTGCACCGATCCTGGGCCACCTCGACGACGCTGGCGACTACGTCGGCGCCGACACCGACATCTTCGGCCAGAGCGAGGGCATGGACAGTGACGGCGACGCCCCTGAAAACGTCGGCCCTGCTTCAGCAACGTCGATTGCTCAGTGCCTCTTCCCAGGGGCAGTTTTTTCGGCTCGGGACCCTTCTCCCGAAATCGGGACCCCCGAAGCCGAAAAGAAGAACATTCTTCTTGCCGCGGCGTCGGCGGCCGCACGGCGCGCCCGAGCCCATGGTAGAACGGACGACTTGACATGCTCGCTTCAGTCAGCGGTCGCCAGCGAGCCGGAGCAGGTGCGGGCGCAGGTCGGGCAACGGGCGGGACACGCCGATAACGGAAGTATCGCACACACACACACACAGAAGAAGGCGCGGCTAAGTGATGGAAGCCAGCTGGGATTGCAAAGCGGCACGTCGTCGGAGGTCTGGGCCCTTCCCCTCCCCGGGACACCGCGCAGCCGCCGTCGCCGCGGCCGTTGACGTCCCCGTCTGCATCGTCATCGTTTTCCTCCTCGTCCTCCTCGTCCTCCTCCTCCTCCTCCTCCTCCTCCTCCTCCTCCTCCTCGTCGTCCTCCTCATCCTCTTCCTCCTCGTCCTCCTCCTCCTTCTCTTCCTCCTCATCCTCCTTCTCCGCTTCTCCCCTCATCCCCCTCCTCCTCCTCCTCCTCCTCCTCCTCCTCCTCCTCCTCCTCCTCCTCCTTTTTTCCCTCCTCCCACGTAGCCTCGGAAGAGAGGTCACGATACCACTGGTTCTTCAAGATGCTGCACGAGCTACGCCCTGGCAGCTCTGGCAGACATCTACACGCATGGCTGCTTTGCGTTGGGCCCTCTGTGATGACTAGACATAAACAAACGATCACAACTCTCTCCTCACCCAACATACGTGAGGCGAGACCAAGACGGCGGCCGAGGAAATGGTCAACGGGCAGAAAGGGCATCTACATATTCTGCACAATTGACCAGGGCGTGGAGCACGAGAGATAGTTGTTCTGCGAGTCTAGCTGATCCTCACATCCGAACTTGCACAAGCAATCCTGCTGAAACATCCTCCGATCCGTCGCCCACCCCCCACCTGAGTTTTACTCGTGTAGATTGTCGAGGCGGGCAGCATGAGAGTGAATATCTCTTTGAGCCTTGGCCAGCTCAGCCCAGCGACCGCACGAGCAGAAGGAGGCCTCGTGGCCCACTTTGCCCGGCGCTTTGCAATCGTGACCTTCAGATCTTCGGAAAACGAATGAGCCTAAAAGGATCGGGCGAGCGATCTCTGGATGGGTGCAAGATGGTTCTCGGCCAGCGTCTCTCCGAGAGCTTCCGTCGCCGGAGCAACGGACGGGAAGAGGCGAGAGACACGAAAGGACATCCCCGTGGGTCCGCTGGAGCCCTTGCACAATAAAAAATGAAAGCCAGAAAGAGGGCGAACACGAATCACTGACCCAGAGACCCGAGACTCCAAAACCATTGGGCGGCTGGTGGCTATTTTCGGCTTCTGGGAGGTCTCAGCGGGCCCCAGTACCGTCAAGAAGTTACTCATCAGGATGAAAAACTGGCTCTCGGAGAAGTGTGCAGACCCCCAGGGTTCACGAATCGAATAAATTTGAGCGCCAGATGTCTGGGGATCCAGCGGCTGAAGGGTGAGCCTTTTCCATTGTTCTGTGCACTTCAGCTTTGGCTTCAGCTTCAGCTCCGGGCGCGCTGCGAAGCGCCCTCGGGCCAGCTCATCAAGCACACCTTGCAAGGCGCACGGCTGCTGACATCGCCTACCGGGTACCCAAAGCGGTGAGCATCGGCGAGGCGCTAATTTTCCATACCTGATTCTTGTGGAGTTCCGCCTCTAGAACACGCTACCTGCGCCCACCCAGAATGCGGACGGCGGCATTCTGGCCGATGCCTTGTTCGCACGGTGCACTGCGAGGAGGCCACGTGCGACCGCCATAGGACAGCCAATTGCCTATCCAGGTCGGCCCTGCGGTGCTGTGGGCTTGCCCAGCTTGTGTTCGTGCGGCGGGCGCGGCAACGTATCCAAGGGGGCGCGCGGCACTCCGCTACGACCCAGAAGCGCGAAACGAGCTGCAGAGTCGCCGACGCGAGACTGCAGCTATGGCGCACTCACGGCTACTCGTGTTCGCCACTGTGGAACACCATCGACTGCCACTGGAGCCGACGCCCAGCACTGACAGGGGCAGCTCGCACTCGGTCGCCCAAATCGCGTTCACGGTCGCACAATGATCCTGCTCGGCCGCCGACCCACGGCAGAAGGCGCACTCGGCGATAACTATTAGCACTGAAGACGCGGACGGCGCGGCCGCGGATTCTGTCGCCCCACGTGCACAGTGCCAACCCGACCACAACCGTTCTCCTTCGCTCTTTCTCTCCCGCTCTCTCCCTCGGCCGCAGTGGCCGCGACGGCCGCCTCGGCAGCGGCAGGCGCGGAACCAGGCCAGGAGCGGGCGCCGCGACGAGCTGCTTCTGGCCCCTTGCGGGCACGAGGGCCCGCGAGGTCGGCCGTGCTGGCGCCCAGGGCTGAGGTCCCGTCGCCGCCACGAGCTGCTGGACGGCGGCACGCCAACAGCGCGGAAGCGTCCAAGTGCTGTGCCGTCTGCGCCACCAGCTGCACGACCAAGCGCGACCGACCACGACGACACAAGACCCAGATGCGTTCGCCTCTCACCTCCAGGAAGGCCCGTGATGGTCGTAAGGGCGTTTCTCCTGAATGTTTTTTCTCACTGGGGTCTTGGCTTCCTTTGGCGCTGGGGACCATTCGCACGGCGCGCAGCCAGGGTTTGCGCCATTCAGCGCGCGCGGTTAACTGCAGCAAGTACGACATCGAGGAGTCCCGCCGTCTCCAATACAACTACCGATCTCGCCAAGGGCAGATGTTTTCACAGCGGGCAATTTATTCCTCCTCCCTCCTCCCTCTTCCCTCCTCCCTTCTCCTCCTCCTCCTCCTCCTCCTCCTCCTCCTCCTCCTCCTCCATCTGCTCCTCCTCCTCAGCCCCCTTGCTTTCGGGTCATAGCTCGGCTCCCCGGAGGCCGTTCGGGACGATCCGGGCACCACTGGAACGCACTTGGCAAGGCCCCGCTGCTGAAGGCACCCCGAGGCTGGGAGACAGGCCCCCTCCGTCGGGTGCGGACCAACCCGACTCAGCGCAAACCAAGTTTCGTTAATTTACAAAACCGGCGCTGCAGTTTCTGTTGGCGGACCCGGCTCAGCCAAGATGTAAGGCCACCTGCGGGTCCGCGACCAGCTCCCACACCCAGCTCAGCCAAAATCCAGCTTTGCAGGAGCCTGCAGGATCCCGCATTCTGGCTGAGCGCCGTTTGCGCTGAGCCCCGACCCCGAGGGCGCCCGGCGAGCCTGGCCTGCCGGAGCGCGACGACAGCCCTCCTCCTCCTCCT